GTGCTCTGTGGAAATAAAATGATTTTGTTTATGTTGGAAAGTATTCACGACATCTATTTATCAGGGATAATACTTGTGGGGCCTAGTCGATGTATTTACAGCCCGGCTGAAGTGCCCACAATACTTCCTTGCCGATAGCTGGTAGCGAAGGCGGGAATAATCCACTCACAATTACTGGAGATATATATGGACTTTATTGAGATCTCGGTATACGGTAAGGTGATCGGTCTTGACCGTGACACAGGCGAGTAACGACTAACATATTCTGTTCCCGCTCGGACAGCGCCACCGACGACCATAGACTGTGTCGTCGTATAGATGGGCAACTGCAAGTCGCCACACACTCCCCCCCGAGTGCTAACGCTGGAGAGAAAGAAAAAATAATTTGGTATGACACTGTGTGTCTATCACAAATAATCGGCGCTGCCGAATATCACAAAGAATATTGCAGGAATACATGTAATACCGCTGCTTAGAACTAGAGTGTATACGCAGGATGTATCACAGAAATTACAGACTGTTATAATATTACCACTGCTTATTTATGCAGGGTGTATGAACACATTTGACAATACCGCTACTTATAGACTAACGCATACGCAGGATGTATCGCCAAGACTTAAAACTAGTACCGCTGCTTAGAGACTAACGCATACGCAGGATGTACATTATTACAGGGTTATATAGTGGTACCGCTGCTTAAAATTAAAAAGAAATATACGCAGGATGTATAAACTTATAGCTAGTACCGCTGCTTAGAGCTAACGCATACGCAGGATGTACATAAATCAAAAGCAAAATAATAATAATACGCGACCGCGACCAGAATGAAAATTGCACTTAACACTAATGGCTAACGGAAAATATAAACTTTTACGCGCAATACATAGCCACCTGTACTTCCCGTATCGAGATTTTACTAACGAGGGAATGAACGTACGGTGTTCTTGTCTAGCCTGATTTGTACTTTCTTTTTCGGGCCCGAATACGTTTTCAGGGTACCCGGTTGAGTGCTTGACGAAGT